TCATGTTCCCTATGTATATAAATCTCCCCACTGTATTTTCCACTGAATGCATCTGATGAAGTGAGCTGTAGCTCACGAAAGTTTATGCTCAAATAAATTGGTTAGTTTCTAAGGTGCCACAAGTACTCCTTTTCTTTTTGCGGATACAGACTAACACGGCTGCTACTCTGAAACCTGCTGAATAGTGTGTCTATTGTGTGGCATTAATTGATGCACAATGAACTTCACACCATGAGTTAATTCATTTTAATGTACCTGACTGTCCCCGTATAGACAAGCCCTAATATGTTTTAAAAGTCTACTGTAGGCAGACCAGGTGGATGAGGTAATATCTTTTATTGGACCAACTTCTGTTGGTGAGAGAGACAAGCTTTCGAGCCACACAGAGCTCCTCTTCAGGCTGGGAAAGGTACTCTGAGCGTCACAGCTAATTGCAAGATGTAACAGATTGTTTAGAATAAGTAATTAGCACATATTGTAAGGGACTATTCTAGGTAGAGTATCCGGTAACACCTCTGCAGTCATAGGACAAAAAGAGGGAGATAGGCCATGTCTCCATTCACACTTACGTTGGCAAAACTTGTGTCGCTCCGGGGTGTGAAAAAAAACTCCCCTGAGCGACATACGTTTTGCCGGCATAAATGCTCGTGTGCATAGTGCTATGTCAGCAGGAGATGCTTTCCTGCTGACATAGCTACCGCCACTCGTTGAGCTGGTTTTATTATGTTGCCGGGAGAGCTTTCTCCTATCGGCATAACGTGGCTGTGTGAGCAATCTTCCAGCGGCACAGCTGTATTGGTACAGCTGTGCGACTGTAAGCTTGTAAATGTAGACATGACCTTAGTGCGTTACAGATTGTTGTAATAAGCCATAAATCCAGTGACTCTGTTCAATGATTTTCAGTGTCTAGCGGAGATATAAATTTAAGCTCCTAGGCTCATCTTTTGAATGTATTGTGCAGGTTTCCTTTGAGGATGGGGATTGATAGGTCAGATATAGACTGATTGGCTTTGTGAAAAGTGTTCACCCACAGGTGACAGTGGTTTTTGTCTTTTATCATTTTCATTTGAGAGCATAGTGATAGTCTCGCTTCACCCACATAGTTGTTATTGGAGCATTTAATATACTGGATGAGGTGTACCACATGTTGTTGTAATAGGCATGTCTAGGATCCATGAATCTTGACAGGTGATCATTGTAGCAATGGAGATATGTCTGCAGGTTTTGCATCTATTGTTCTATCAGGATCTGGTGCTGCTTTGAGTTGGTGTGTCCTGGTCTGTGGGGAGCTTGCTTCTGATGATGAGCTTGGAGAAGTTGGGGGGGTGGTTTGAATGCCAGAAGTGGGGTGTTTGGGAAAGATTTTTTTCAGGATAGTGTCCCCATTGCGTTTGAGTTGTAGTTGTTTGATGATACTCCATATGGGTTCCAGTCTGGGGTGGTAGGTGACAACTAGGGGTGTGTGGTCAGATGGAGTTTTATTTCTGTATTGAAGACAGGTTCTTTCAGGTTGTCTGGGTGGCCTGTTCCATGATGCGATCTACTTCTCTGATGGAGTGTCCTCTTTTTGTAAAGGTGGTTTTAAATGTGTTAAGGTGTATATACCGGACTTCCTCTACAGAGCATATTCTGTGGTAGCTGAGTGCCTGGTTATGGATAACAGATTTCTTGGTGTGTTTGGGATGGTTACTGAATCTATGAAGGTAGATGTGGTGATATGTGGGTTTCTTGTATATGGTTCTCTGGATTCCATTGTTCCAGATGATTGTCCAGGAAGTTGATGCTAGTGTGGAAGTGTTCCAGAGAGAGTTTAATGGGTAAGTGGTTGTGGTTGAAGTTGTGGTGGAAATCTATGAGGGAGTTTAATCTCCAGAGGATGAAAACGTTGTCCAAGTGTCTCAGGTATATCATTGATTTAGTGGTGCAATTGATATGGCTTATTACAACAAACCCGCGAACTCCGTCTTTTTGTCATATGACTGGAGAGGTGTTAACTGGCCATTCTACCTTGAAGAGTCCCTTAAAATATGTGCTAACTACTTATGCTAAACAATCTGTTGCACCTTGCATTTAGTTGTCTCTCTCACCAACAGACGATGGTCCAATAAAAAATATTACCTCGCTCACCTTGTCTCTGTGGCAATGACACGGCTACAACTACACTGCATAGTGTAGACAAGGCACTCTGTCTATAACACATGCTAAATCAGTTGAGTTAAAGCCTTCTATCACCTATCACAAGCACTAAAGTCAGTTAACTGGAGGAGTTCTTTTAATGTTTATTTGGAAATCATACTATTCTTCCTTAAGGGCATGTCAACACTACAAAATTTAAGTAGACCTAACTTACATCAGCATATAGCTGTGCAGTAATTACATTGCTTGAGTGTGTCTACACTTTGCTTCTTGTGTCAGTGGTGCGCGTCCTCACCAGAGCACTTGCACTGATTGAACTGTCAGTGTGGGGCATTGTGGGACAGCTTCTCAACATCAGCAACAGTCAATGTAAGCTACGCAGTGTCTACACTGACACTGCTTCGACCTAACTACATCGACATTGACTCTACACCTCTTGTGGAGGTGCAGTTATTAAGAAGGTGTAGTGGGCAGTTACATCAGTGGGAGAGAAATTTTAATGTAGACACTTAGAGAGTTAGGTCGACGTAAGCTGCGTTGCATTGACCTAACTTTGTAGTGTAGACCAGGGCTAAGAAATGTTACTTTACAGTTTTTAACTGCCTAATTACTGAATGGGAAGTAAATGACACACTCTTAAAGGCGCTTGTGAAGATTCTGTTCATTTCCATTGATGCCTTTCAAATATAGCAAAAAAGGAACACCATTAATGTTTGAATTAAGATGCAAACAGATCTGCTAAGGTAACAGACTAGACCTAAAAATATATTCTGAGAAGTAATCTGATTACTTTTTGCCTGAAAAGTACACCTATATTCATTTGTTATTTTTATTACCTTTTTGGCAGTCTTTGTTGTTTATGTTCTGAGTAATGGTGCTGAAGTCATAGTATTCAGTATAACCAAAGTTTCACCATGCAATATGTATGAGTAAAACAAAAGGAATCTAAAAACAGTCATTGATCTGTTACTTTCATAAGAGTTCAATAAGTACTATGTAGTGGATTATATTTAGTACACAGTATTCAATCATGTAGATTCCATTTTAAAAGTAACTTTACAATTATGAATTATTGTAAAATGCCAGATTTGAATGTGGAATAGTTGCTAGACTGTCATGCAGAATACTTTCTTATTAGTTAGCATAAAATATTTTATGCACCTTCATGAATAGCATCATCCCAAATGCTAGAGTGCCTAGGTGGTGCTGTTGAATGAGTTTGAAGGAGATTCACAGATGCTGCTTGGATTATATTATTATGCTTTACAAATTCAAAGGGAGAGATTTATTTTTATATAACTTCAAAAGAAATGTTTTTTCAGTGATGCATGAAAAGAAAAGCAATGATTAAAAATCTATTTTGATTAACATTAGCATAATGAAATGACAGGCTTTGAAAATTCGAAATTACTACTAACTGATTTTTTTTTTTTAAAAAAATGGGACCAAGTCCTCAGCAGGTGAAGCTAATGGAGCTGTACTAATTTATACCACTCAATATTATTGATCTAGTCCTTAAATATTATAGAAAGGACTTCATTTAAAAAATGCAATTAAAGTTTTAAAGGTGACTGAAAGTTTTTGTGGGTTTTTGTTTTTTGGTTTTGCTTTTTAATTTGGCCTCTGCCCTATTTTTTGTTTCTTTATGATGTACACATCCTGAAAGGAGATATGTAAGTGTTTTTTCCTGCACTGATTGTCCCTTATTTGGGAAATACCATAAATGAATAGTCTGAACTTTTCTGGTCTTGTTAGAAGACCACTAGGGGGTAAAAATGTGACCATTTAATAAGTTAATTAAAAGGACAAGGATTTTTGAATAATCAATAAGGACTTCCCCTATTTAAAATGTTAGTCGTTTGAATGGATGCTAACAAAAAAGAATTAACAGAAAAAGTTCAGGCTGACTAAAAATTGCTTCCACCTCTTAACTTCTGCTCAGCTCAGGGTACAGAGCAAATATATGTGTACTGTAACACATGTTCGGGGAATGTCCATCCACTAGCTTTTACAAAAGTTTTAACTACCTTAAATTAATTGGGAATTCAGGGTAAGAAGTGTTGCGTAGACAAACCCACATTGTCATCATCTAACTGGTTGCCCACTCATCCTAGGGCCCTATGCTATGTCAACACTGCAAAATTTGATGTGAAATCCTGTTGGAGACAGGTAATGGCTCTCTCTGCATAGCTAGTTGAGATAAATACTTTTACTTTGACATAGTGTGTTGGGAGGTATAAGTTGTACCTTAACTAGCTACACTGAGGTAAAAACTACCTGTACCTTGTCTCCACTAGAATTTTACATCAAGATGGCTAACTCAATGTAAAAACATGTTTTTGTTTCCCCCAGTAAAGACATATAGAGTCCAGCCTGAATTTCTATTGTAAAAAAAAAAAAAGGTGGGAAAAAAGAGAACCTCTCAGATCTTCTTTATACATCATAGAGGGACAAAAAAGCATACAACTTTTTTTTTAACCTTTGAAGGTTACTTTTAAGAATATAAGGATCTGATCTTAAAAACATGTACACACAAGTAACTTTGTAAGCAGTCCTGTTGAACTCAGTGTGACTACAGACATTGAGAAGCATGTTGCCCAATAAATATTTTTGGGATCAGACTATAAGAAGTTAGTTCAATAGCTTGGGAGAAGTTTGTTAGGGGGGAGGCAGCAGCTGTTGGAAAATAACTGCTGACTCATTTATACTGTCTCTCCCACATGTCACCTGGGGCTGATTGATTTTCTGGGTCAAAATGCAAAGACTGATCAGCACTTTCAGTATTGTATGTTACTCAGAAAAGTTTCTCTCTGTATTGTCATGAAATTTATGTAACTCATCTCTTTCTCTCTCTTTTATTGTAGTCTGCAACTGTGTCTGATGGAGGTAAGCTAAAATTTGTTGACACTTTTATTAGTATTCAGAAAATCAAAGTTCCCACATTAAATAGTGTGGTAAAGTGTGATAAATTAAATGTCATATGACAAGAAGTGTTTGCTTGATAGACATGATCGGCCCATCTTGCAATCCTTAATGATACACTGACTTCAGTAGGAATTGTGCCTATGAAAATTCTGAAGGATCAGGCCTCATGTTTTTCAGGTCATATTCCTTTGTTTACCTACATAAATTCTTTGTGACATATGGATTTAAATACACGCATGTTATTACAATTAGAATTCTTCATTTGTGATTTATTTAAAAAGTTGATCTTGTGGGATATTATAAAATTGGTAATTGATAAAAACTCTCTCATTTTTTAAATATCCTTTATGTCCTGTATATTCTTTTACCATTGCATTTTTCATCAGCAGCATTTCATTTTACATGTTAAAACAAGTTTTTTACTGTTTTGTCTTGCAGAGACGGCTCCTAGCCCATAGGTTAGGTGTGATCTCAGAACTCTTGTTGGGGCTAAAAGGAGTGTCTTTTTATAATGAAGTAGTGCTTTCGTTTTGGATAAATAAGATGGCATCCTTAAAACCTGAATAAATGTAACCCAGCCTGAAGTTCTTGCTGTTCTGGGATAACTGTTGGGTAGAGTCACTGTCTATGCTACATTTTGTGTTGAGCCATGAGGAACTGAGAAGAAGCTATCTGACTCTTTCTTTTGAGAACTCTGAACCAAAATCCACCATTTAGATTAACATTGCTACCTGCGCCTCCTACTATGCCGGGCTTCAAACAGAGATAAAGAATTGTGTTTAAATTCAGTTGAGTGGTAGTTTCAGCTAATTAAGGTTCTAATATGGTTTGGCAGCTGGAAAAAGTTTGGTAGAACCTTATTTAAAAACAAAATATTTTTTTAGCTAAGTTGTAACTAGTGACTGAAGAAGTTCAATCCATGCTGGACATTTAAAAAAAAAAACCAAAAATGTGTTCTACGTAGGCTAGAACATGCTCTTTTAGCATGGCCCTTGCACCAGTTGGGCCCATCCATAATAACCAATCAAGTTGTGTTAGAAACCAGTTTAGCTGGAACAGTTTAAATATGATTCCTTAACGGTATACAAGGCCTTTAGTATAGCTTAGTTTACAGTAGAGGTGGTTTGCTTCTAGAGTTGCCTCACTTGGTCCTGCAAAGGATCAGTCTTGCATGTATTTTACCCATTTTGGCTTTCTTTGAGTACTGTATAATATATACTGTTTAACTAGGTAAAAGGACGCAAACACCTGTTTAAGGAAAAAGTGAACTAAAACAAAAGGAAGATTCTGAAGCTGGAGGAGGGTAGGATTAGTTGCCTGTTTTTTGATCTAAGTGGAAGAGTAGGCAAATATATTCACAGCAACTCTCATTATTCATTCCTCCCCTATCTTTCTTTGTCATTTCTTATAAAAAAAAAATGAGGTCTGTTTGGGCCTCAGCCAGAAATAAAACCCTAGACAGAGTTCACTGTGTCATTTTGCTAGCAGCTAACTTATCCCATCAGGTATTTTCGCTTTTTCAGCTGTCACCACTGTCACAGCACTTGGATGGGAGGTAGAACATAGAATCTGTTTGAAGCCCAACCACTAATTGGCCATGGGATAACAGGAAAAAAGACAGTGTGCACCTACTTCATCTCTTGTTTCTTAAACAAAGGCTATATCTTTATCTTCACTATAAAAAGGTGTGTTTTTACAGTGAGTAGTCTGTCTTGATGGAATATTCTAGCGGAGACAAGGCACAGGTTGTTTTTACCTCAATGTAGCTACTCAAGATAAAAACCCTAGGTGAAAGGTGTAGGGTTGACCCTGACTAACTACATCGAGATAAAAACTATAATGCCTTGTCTCCACTATGATTTTACATCCAGTTAGCTCTCTTGAGTTTCCCATCTCAGTGTAAAAACACATCCTTTTCTCTGCAGTCAAGACATAAACTAACATACACACAGTGTTTGTAGGTTTACTAATCTGCATATTGTACAGACTACTAATTCCCCAAGAAATGATTTTTGTGTCCTGAAAGTTTATGTATTATAAATTTGTTGGTCTGAAAAAAGATTATGCATTATCTGCTTGTCTACAATGAAAAATATTTCTCCTTCATGGCATGTCTAATCTCCATTGGCTGATGAAATGGGATCCCTGAAGTAGCACTCCCTTGATAGTAACATCAAGCACAATGTACTTCCATTTGTCAGTTTTATTGGAGATCTCTGGCTTGTCAGGTTCTGCTTCTCCAGTATTGTTACTGAAGTTATTTTCAAGTCTAGGGATAATTGTGTTTTCACAATTAATACTGTAGAATTTGGTAGAGTCGTGAAGTCTGAGGGCTGTGTAGGTTGCTGAGGTAAAAGAACAGATTGTAACTTGCACTCAGTATTCTGTTCTATATCCTAGTATTTTAGCTGTCTTTTCAGGTAGTGCTGAAGATTTAACACCATACACTCTCTCAATTTTTAAGGTACCAGTGGATCCTAAATTCTGTACAAAGCTATAAAATGTAGACTATATGAAGAGTAATATTTAATAAATGCTTAACTGTATAGAAGGTAAACTGGAAAAATAAGACCCAAGAGAAGGGAGTGAAACAAGAAAAACTGAATAGAAATAAAATCTTAACTAATTTCAGCTAAAGCTGCACTAAGTATAATGTTCTGATTAATGTCTGTATGGCAATTTCAGACTTTTACTTTCTTTGAAAATGTCACAGCAATGAATTTTTTCTATTTTTTTTTATATAAGCACTTCATTAGAAGACCCACAGAATTACATATTTTCAGGCTTGTCTAGGTTAGACGAATTTGTTCCAGTGTAGCAACATTAATATAGTTAACACAGTGCAAATTTCCCTTATCTATACAAGCCATTTATGTCAGTATATCCACTTGTAAAAATAATTATATGTTTTTAAATCTATCCTTGTAACTAGAATAGGGGGCACACCAACTTTTATCTCTCAAATCACTAGTGCCTCATGTTATGTAAAAATTTTACATTAGAGTCTGGCTTTGGATGCTGATTGCTCAAAGCCATATTCAGTCAGATTGTGTAGTAACTCCAAATGTGCATGTTTGAGTTGTCACCACCAAAATAAAAAGTCACCACTGGCCAAATTTTCAGATTTAGGCACCTTCAGTTGTGTACCGGAATCCAGGTTGAGACAAATTAAATAAATGGCTTAATTTTCAGAAGTGCTGTGCAGCCACTGTACTCATTTAAATCAGCAGGATTTGATAGGGTTTGAGCATCTCCTAATATCAAGCCATTTATTTAGGTACCTAACTTAAGACACCAAAGTTTGAAAATGTTGTCATTTTCTTCAATGGGTGGGAGGAAAAAGATCAATATGGGAAAATTATAGTAAGTACATTTCCCTTGAAGATATGTGAAAATAAGTCTTACAGGCTGTCGATGAAGGAAGGCTAAGCCTCTAACCTCAATTCCTCCTGTATTTCCCCTCCTCCATCCTTCTGCCCTCAACTGACCAGCTGCACTTTGTGCAAGGTGAAGAGCGCTTCTAGATCTAACTTACTTGAAGCTGAATTTTGAGCTCTAAACAAACTCCCAGTTCACACACCAAATTCAGTCCTCAGAGCAATAAAAATACCAACTTTTGAGCGTTCAAAAAACTGGCTGTTTTTCCTGTGTGCATATTATTGGAGAAATATTAAGGGCAGTAGCCAATCAGAACAGAGGGATTTGCATAACTGGTGTGGAGTTATTCAGGAATAACTGTACATACACTACCCTTTCTCTTCAGATTGACTAATGGCGATCAGCTAAGTGAGCTGTAGGCTCACGAAAGCTCATGCTCAAATAAATTGGTTAGTCTCTAAGGTGCCACAAGTACTCCTTTTCTTTTAGCTAAAGAACAGGGATTCAGAATTACTGAATAATAACTGAAAAATAAACAATAAAATCTGATTTGCATAATGACTCAGCTAGGGTGACCAGATGTCCTGATTTTATAGGGACAGTTCTGATTTTTGGGGCTTTTTCTTATATAGGCACCAACCCCTGTCAATATTTTTCACACTTGCTATCTGGTCACCCTACTCACAGCCATTCAAAATGCAGAAAATAATAAAATTGAGAAATGAGGTTATTGGTACGGATCAGTAACTATACTGCGTCTTTGCCCTGGGATCTTCAGAAACCATTTTTATTTCACTGCTTGTAATTCTTGTTCTCCGAGGCTATGTCTACAGTAGTCTTTTCTCCTCACACTTCCAACTATTGGTACTATTGGTACAGCAACAGTGGGAGCACTAGCATCAATAGAATGCAGGTTTGCTGGTGTTTTAAACATTGTGCCGTTTAGAGAGACTGTAGTTAAAATGCCAGAAGTCTTCACTCCTCTCTTACCATTGCTGTCACTGATGGAGTTTCACAAGGGGGAAATTTTAGGCATAATATAGTGCTGACAAGATCAGTGGGTATATATTTACAGTATATCAGCACTCATCCACCTGGCCTTCCTTCTCAGAGATGTGGGCATTTATTGGTCACTGAAATACCCAGATAGTAGGTGAGGTAATTTAACACTTCAGAATTTTGAGGTATGTAATTTCTGACCTGTCACTCCCCACCACCCCGATTAGTTCCACAAAGTGGGTGTCTATTATTACTTTTTACTTTCAAAGAATAGTAATTGCATGTATGTGAATGTTTAAACTCTGAATTTTGAGCTCTTATATAGTATTTCATTGTAATTGCTGCTGCTTGTGGATTTTTTGTTGTTCTCATCACCAGAACCAGTTTATTTTTTCATAAGTAATGTGTTTGGAAAGCTTAGAATGTTTACAACTGCAAAATAATATAGAACTACATTTTTAAAACACAACCACAGAAGATACAATAAAAATGTGACAATTCTAAAAAACTAAAACGCTATTCTTATCTAAGTTGCAAATACCTGATGAATTGTCTCCTCTAACAGACCTATGACTTATCTTTTA